AATCGCTTTGGCGTCGTCTTACTTCCAATAGCATTCATGAATCTCTGGTATTTTATCACCAACAGTAGCATTCTTTTACATTAAGTCTCTTTAGTACCTCCGTTCTTTTCAATGAGATAATTTTTAAATTTTAATAAGAATGGCTCGTTTGGGTTGTTATAAAAAGTGTCGACTCTATACAAATATTAATTTTTTTTATAATTCAGAAGATATCTAATTATTAGAAAATTGATTAGTAGTATCTTGAATTTTGAAGATTCTAATACGGATACATATCAGAAAAATAAAAGAATAATAATTCAAATTATAATAACGTTAAAACTTTAGCGATATGGTTAAAATTATTTTTATTTCAGCTACTGCTGAGTGCTTAATAAAAATAAATGCATAGCGATGATAGTTTATTACTATATACATTACAATTCTTTAAAAAAAATACTTGCTATAATGATTATTATAACGTAAGCTACATTTTTTACCAATACTAGGACAGCTGGTTCGTACATATATCAAAGATGATTGATTTCCATTAAATTTTTTGAAATCATAAAAAAAAATTTAATCTTATTTCAATTTTATGTTGATGCACGCTTTGTTTTATAGTCCTTGATTGCAGATTTAATGGCGTCCTCTGCGAGCACTATTCGTGATATCAAAAAAAAAAAGTCTTTAATATTGCAAGTTACATTTGTAAAACAGATAAAGAGAAGTAGCATACTTGAACAATGAAGCTTCACAGGGGGCAAACATAATTCCTTTGCAATCTCGGTATTTCTAATTTGACTGGCTTCATCCAGAGACATGCCTCTCACTCGTTCAGTCATATAGCTTGACGAAGCAATGGCAGAGCCACATCCAAATGTTTTAAATTTAACATCAACGATCTTGCCAGTCTGTTCGTCAACACGAATTTGAAGTTTCATAACATCACCACAAGCTGGTGCTCCAACAAGTCCAGTTCCAACGTCTGGATCTGTTCGTGGAAGTGACCCAACATTACGAGGACGTTCATAGTGGTCAATAACCTTTAAAAAGAAATTTGCCAAGACATTAGTATTTACATCAAGCGTAAGCATTTGTAATAAATTCTTTCTAATAGTCTAATAGAGAAGTTTGCCTCGGTATATCCGTACGACTAGTTCTTTTTTGCTTCAAGATTTATATTTTAAAAGTATAACCAACCTTTTCATGATAAGATCGCGTAAAGACAAGCGAAGCAGGACGTATAATTGTGTTAGTTCGGCACAACGAACCAATATTATTTATAACTGTACGCAACATATTTTAAAAAGAATATCAAAATTTTAAATGTTGTAAAATGACCTCTATTTATAATGTCGCAAAATGACCTCTATCGCTATTTATGTACAAGATTAGTAATTAGTAATACAGCAAATGTTAATGAAACACAAATGATAAAAGGGGTTTATCTGACCTAACGCTAAGCCTTTTATCAGATTTGAGGATCTGATAATGCAACGCCGACCTTATCAATCAGATTGTGTATGTAATATAAATTATCGTTATCACTATTGTTTGTTTGCTAGAATGAGGTCATGTTTCAGGTCATGCGTTAGTGGGTAATCATTTTTGCAATGTCGATATCGATATCTATAAAAAAAGGTACGTAGGACATGCGAAAGAATAAGTCTAAATAAATATAAATTTTCAAATCTTCTAGCATTATCGGTGTATCAAACACAGGATTTCGTGTTTGCTGATCGTCTACTCTATTCTAACCAATAAAATTAAGTGTGTGCAAAAAATGGGATTTAAAGTATACCGGGTTGGTTAAAAGTCCCTAAACAGGTCCCTCTTTTACCATCTCGCTAATATTTAATTTTATTATTTTTTTATATGTACATATATATATGTTGTGCCTCAGACTAACGCTTGCCTCAGATTACAGCTGACGCACCTCAGATGCAGATCGTCAGGTGAGGTGCGTAACCTATCGATCGGTCAATAAGCACAAAAAAAAA